AATAATAATAATAATAATAATAATAATAATAATAATAATAATAATAATAATAATAATATTAATAATAATAATAATAATAATAATAATAATAATAATAATAATAATAATGATAATAATAATAATAATATTATAATAATAATAATAATAATAATAATGATAGTAACAATAATAATAATTATTATTATTAATAATATTAATAAACAGTGACAATAATAACAATAGCAATAATAACATAATAAAAAAAGAACAAGGAAAAGATTAATAATAACAATAGTAATGATGATAATAACAGTGATAAAAGATAATAATAGTGATAATTCTCATGAATGTTTTGTTTACTTTCACTTAACCATATATGTCTCTAATAGTGATTCGAAGAAATGAAAAAATTTCTGGATAATATTTCGAAAGTTCAAAGTGTGACCTCAAATTTTGTTTGCTATTATTGCTGAATTTAATTGAAATTATTTAGTGCAATCTTAGATAAATCAAAACTATTGCTGCATTACTTATCAACAATGGTGACATCTTTTGATGAAAAATTGTTAGTTGCTTTCAGGTCAAGTGTCAAGTGTCAAACATTAAACCACATTTATTGTAGCATCCATTTTGGAATTTAGTTAAATAACATTCAACAAAATAGCTATTAAAGGTTAAATGAACATTTAACAAAATAACTATCAGCAAAATCAACAAAAAAAAAAAAACAAAAATCAAAATTTGCATAAGTTATTCAACCATTTAGTTTATTATCAGGAGATCAGAATTGTCAAAATGACCTGAAGTGATAATTGCTTATCATTACTTATTCATCATTAACCTACAACCTAACATTTTCTAATTAATCTTTTGCATATTTTCTTTAAATAAATCTTTTTTTTTCTTTACAGATATTTGCCACAAAATAAACAATTTATTAATTATTCGATTATCGTAAAATTAATTATTCGTTCATTTACTAATTATTCATTTATTCTTGTTCTTTGATCTATTGATTGTCCATTTGATCAATCCATCTTTTTCGTCATATTTGTTAAAATAATATTATGGAAAAGTTTAAAACATATGGTTAAGATAAATTTGTTTGTTCCATAAAAAAAAAAAAAAAGAACAACAACCATACGGCGTTAGGTCGAGTGTCATATGTCATGAAGGTCATATTAGAGCCAAGAAAAGACATTCGTTGATATTAACAGTAACTCATACAATTAGGCTTCATATAATTTCAAACAATAACTTAATGCAACAAACAGATGTAACAATGTAATCATAATCAGTTTGTTACTTAGATGACATTTTGCTTAATTAATGATTGGTACGTTATGCTTGTTTATGATTGCTTCTATTACGTAATGCTTTAACAAACGGAAGAATATTTTTTTTCCAAGAAAAAAAAAAGGAGCTAATGAGTAAAATAAGCAAATTTAATAATACTTTTTTAAGAAAACAGTAAATATTTTAGGAGGAAATATTATTGAAATGTGTATTTCATTCTATTGCATACATTTGTCTGTGCTTGTAAGCTTATCAGGTAAATATTTGATAATGTAAGCTTATTAACTTAATATTTATTATGTAAGCTAATATGTAAGCTATATATATATGTAAGCTACATATGTGTAAGCTCAATAAAC